TTCCTCCACGCAACGGTAAGCATTAGAATACGTCTACCACGCGTCTCCTTTAGGGCTTGAGGGCATCTTGAGTTCCAGAGTGGTCTTTGGTGGGGGGCTTCAGGTCCTGAGGGGTCTTCTGGGGGGCTGAGGCCTTTTGAGGTCCTTCATGGGGGTCTGAGGGGTCTTCTTGGGGGTCTGAGGTGCTTTGAGGTCCTTCATGGGGGTCTGTGGGGTCTTCTTGGGGGATTGAGGGGTCTTCTTGGGGGATTGAGGGGTCTTCTTGGGGGCCTGAGGGGTTTTGAGGGTCTCCTACAGGGGCTGGGAGGCCTTCTTGAGGGGCTGAGTTAGGGGTTGTGTGGGTAGGGGGGCTGTTAGACATGGTTGGGCTGTTTTGGGGGGTTCTGGGTGGTCTGTGGGTGGTTTTAGTTGGTTAGTTGGTCTGGTGGGTGCCTGGATGCTCCTGGTACGCTTCGCTAACGGTCGGTTCGCTTGGATCGATCAATTTCGTGGTTTTCGCTAGGGAGGGGAGGGAGGGAGTTGCGGGCGCAGGTGGGAGGCAGTCAGATATCGACTGCCGTGGGCCCAAGGTAGATTATATGTATAAAGTTTTGTGTTTTTTTATATACATATTTTTTTTTATTTTTTATTTTTTTGTTTTTTTTATTCGGAGCGCCGACTCCCTTTTATTGGAGTGACGACTCCCAAATCCCCCCGGGGGATTTATTTCTTTTTATTTTTTTTTTATTTTTTTTATTTTTTTTGTTGGAGTTCCGACTCCCAAAATAATCGGACCTTTTAGAGGTCCGACTCCCAAATTTTCGGGGAAAAAAAAAAATAGGGGGTTCGACGTCGAGAGGACCGTCCGCAGCCGGTCCTCTTGACGTCCCAAATATTTGGGAGTTGGAACTCCAATATTTGGGAGTCGTTTAACTAAGACCCTAAATCATTGCCCGAGACGGCTCCTCATATATGTTGTTGACAGAACTGCAGACTGTGAACAACACTACTTCTGCTTCTCATCCTTCAAGTCATCGCCTTAAGCCATGCAATGTTGAATGTCAACATTGCGGCGCTCTTCACTGGGCTGAGTAGCTGGCTTTGATCGATATTAAATCAAAAACCAACTCCTTTGCCATGTGCTGTCAAAAAGGGAAAGTCAGATTGCCTTGCACCAATATTACGGCTCCTTCAATTCCTCCCTACCTCAAGCACCTCCTCACTGGGTCAGACTCTGGTAAGACTATTCAAACCATTCACGTTGTGGCGGCAAGAGCGTGCACTGGCCAAAGCTTTGGCCGGTTTGTTTGGGGGCATGCGGAGTGCTCGCGGCTGATGCGGAAAGCATGCAGAGCTGACGCTACGCACGCAGGCTGAGGAAAGCGGCAGTGCATTAGTGGAAAGTCTAGCTTTCCGAAGTGCGGGAAAGCGGGGAAAAGTAGACCGAATGTGCAAGGTTCTGAAAAGCTTGCTGCGGGGAATCCGGGCACCGGCGGACCCCGGGGTTCACGGCCGACTGCGGAACGGGGGTTCAGCGTATACTGCGGAGGGGCTACAAGGAGCGGGGAGCACCGAGGGGCGGAAGCGGGGTTTGGAGCAGACCAGAGGCGGAAGCAGCGGTGGGAGACCTGTCCATGAGCGGCCGGAGGAGTACCTGGACCGAAAGGCGTCGGAGGGGTGACATGCGGAGTCCAAGGGGGTGACAGCGGAG